GTTCCCTCATTGTATCCTATCTCCTGCAAGATATCCTCCTTCAGATTTGCAGAAATGCCAGCAAGTTAGATGGAACTCTTGTCTGCATTTGCTTGTAGTCCTGAGGTTTTTGAGAAATTCATAAAAGCCTGTTGGGGCAGCCTAATAGAAGGAAGGTCTGCCATACAAAACATCATCAGATCATCAGCAACACACACATGAATCACTCCCAACTTTTTTCATCTAGGTGGAAGTGGAACTCCTTGTTCAAAACCAGCTAGTTAAATTCCCTCTGTAAATATTCCATGGCAAGCACAAACAGATAAGGTGACATAAGGTCACCTTGCTTTATTCCTCTTTGTCCTTTGAAGGGTTTAGTGAGCCCCCCATTTAGTGTTAAGGAATAAGTGACAGCTGTTATATACTCCATTATCCACTCAATGAACTTATGTGGGAATCCCAGTTCAATCAGCATCCTTTTTCAGAAAATACCAATCCAAAGTATCATATGCCTTCCTAAGGTCGACCTTAAGGACACACCTTGCAGAGATCCCTTTCCTGTTATAGCCTTTGAATAATTCATGAGTGAACAAAATATTGTCAATGGTGCTTCTACCTTTAATGAAAGCTGATTGTGAACCTCCTACCAGATGTCCTATCACTTTCTTTAATTTTCTAATGAGGACTTTAGTGATGATTTTGTATAAAGTTGTGCAGCATGCAATAGGCCTAAATTCCTTAACCTGAGTGGGGTTTGTGACTTTTGGGATCAGAGTGATAGCAGTACTATTTATAGCCTTATGCATATTTCCTGTTTGAAAGAAGGCTAGTACATCAGTAAGCACATCATCTTTTACCTCCTCCCATTGCTGAGTTATGAATTCAATTGGAAATACATCAACTCCTGGTGCTTTGTCATTTGGCATGCTTTTAATAGCATGAATTATTTCCTCTGTTGTGACATCTTTGATCAGCTCCAGTTGTTGTTGTCTGGTTAGGCAGGGCCCTTTCTTAATCACCTCAGAATTTGGATAGGGGAGAACATGTGATGATTCTCCTATCAGCTTCTTGAAGAAAGAAAGAAATTGATCTTCTACTTGCTTTGGTTGTGTGATTCTGATTCCTGCATCATTATGAATAGAAAGAATTGTGTTAGCATTTGTGCGCATCTTCCACTGAGCATGGAAGTATTTTGTATTGGGATCTCCATATTGTATCCATGTAGCTCGTGATTTTTGCTTTAAGACTTGTTCCTCTATATTACTCCACTTTTCTACTTTCATTAAAGCTTCTTTCTCCCGTTCTATATAGCTTTGGAATAATAGTTGAATGGAAATATGGTATTGTGCTAGTTCCAATTTCTGTTTGGCTTGATTAAGCTTTTGTTGGTAAGAGGCCATATAAGCATTTAATTCCCTCAGAGCCTTCTTTAGCCTCTTAAGTTTCTGCCATGTTCTGGATAACCCTACATCTCCATAATCCTGTGCCCACACTTCTTTCATAATCCTTGCAAAATCTGGGTGGTGAACTACTGTTTGATATAGCTTGAAAGGTCTAGGATGCAAGTATTGTTGTGGAGCTACAAAGTTGCATTTCAGCAATATAGGTGAGTAGTTTGAAACTCCAGAATTCAGATACTCTGCTTTAATATGGCCATAGTTCATCAGCCAATTATAATTCCCAAATGCCCAGTCTATCTTGTTGTAAACTCTTGTATTGTCATCTCTTTTATTACACCAAGTGTAGTACCAACCTGTGCTACTCAGAGGAATAAATTGCAATTGATCTAATAGGTCCCTGAAGCCCTGGATAGATTTGTGTTATGGGGGCTCCAATCCTATCATCAGTATGAAGCACATTGTTAAAGTCTCCATATACCAGCCATTCAGTTGTAATATTAGCTCCTATAGAAGCAAGCTTATCCCCTAACTATTGTCTCTACATCAGATCATTATTTGCATAAATCATAGTGAGTAATAATCTTTTTTGACTATTTGGGTCTTCCACTTCACAATGGATGAATTGAGCATGTGTTTCTAATATTTGAAGCTTTATATGAGATTTCCACAGTAGCAAAATACGACCATTATAAGCATGGTCATAGTTGTAATGAGCGTGCCAATCCTTAGCTATCTTCTGTGTAATCCTCCTAGCTTTATTCACTTTTACTCTTGTCTAAACTATCCCCATAACATCTACTTTATAATGCTTTAGAAAGAGAGTCATATCCTTCTGTTTAAAGGGCCTATTAAGCCCTCTTATGTTCCAGGTACTTATAATCATGGAGGTTTGGGGTGGTCAAAACCATCCTGCCCTGTATCAGATGATGTATATCCTTGAGTCAGAACCTCAAATCTATTGGTAATTCCAACGTGGCTGGTGGAACAGCTAGCTGTAGCTTGTGCCTGCTCTTCCAGTCCTCCATCAGCAACTCTTTTTCCTTGGATTTTAGACCCTTCTTTTCTTATTGGTGCTATTAATGCTGGGAATTCATTCTCATCCAAAGTGGCCTTTATCCCTTATGGTTCACTGACAGTTTCCTTTACTACAGAAGTATTTGGATCATTGGTAGTTCTACTCTTTTCTTTTGCCATCCATTTAGTCACCACACTCCTCCTCCTTCTACCTTTCCTGTTCTTTCTTTTTTGCTCTGCAAAACCATAAGTTTCCTCTCGGGTCTTCCTCTGTCTGCATTCTTTAGTAGTGTGCCCAAATTTAGCACAATCAGTAGAATATTTTGGTTTCAAATCATACTCTATACTCTGTTGGATAATCCCTACTGGAGTATGAACTTCAAGAGCATTTGGCAGGGAATGAGAAATATCTACCTCTACTAGAACTCTAGCATATGATATACGATCCATCTCAGCTGTAAACAAGTCAGTGTACATAGGTTTACCCACTACACAACCCAACTTACTCAGAACTTCAGTAGACCAGTAGCCAACAGGTAAGCTAGGAAATCTCACCCATAATGGGATTGCAGTTAGGCATTCAGGATCAAACACAAAGTCAATCAACCAATTCTTCAAGATAAAAGGCTTATTATGGAATGTATAAGGACCAAATTGCAGGACTCGATCCCTATCATCCACCGAGTTGAACCTGAATATGTAATAGCTATCGTCATGATATAGAATTTTGGGCTTGTTAACAATGTTCCAAACATTGTCCATATAAATCTCCATGGATTTGAAGTAAGGATTATCTCCCAGAACATACCCAATAAGAGAATTAGCCCAATATTCTATTTTGTTCCTTAATGTCCTCCTTGATAATTGTAACTACAAATGTATCCCCATGCATATCTGGAGGTATGTAGGTATGGGCCTTACCCATTTGTGGGCTTCGATTCCTCTGGTAGGGTTTCTCCTCCATTGGTTGGTGTTCCTGGTCCACCATTACTGGCCTTTGTGATTCATCCGAAATTGGTGTTGTGGACTTAGCTAGATCAGAGAATTGAAGCCGACATGGAACCTCTAACCGCGTTCTTCTCACAGCCCTTTTCCCAGCTGGATTGAGTTGATTTTCACTCTTCTCTCTGGTTCCTCGCATATGGTTTGAAATTGTATTGGTAAGAAGCTTCCAAAAGTGAATGGTCTTGCTTGTGATTGTATTGCATTCGTCGGTGTTGATGTAATCTCTGGTGAAGGTAAGGTACTGGTGGCCGGATTTTTCATACTTCTTGTACATATTAGCAAAACTCGCTTAATATGCGCCGAGAGGAAAACATCGATCCCCTTATAACCACCAATTGTCTAGGTATTTATATGCTACATTAAAGAAGCCCCAACGTATATATTAGCAGAAGATACATCCCAACTTTTCTTTGCTCATGTTGTCAATTATTGGGGCCTACCTAAAGACATCATTGGTGATCGTGACTCTTGCTTTACTAGAAACCCTTGGGCTCTCGCGAGTCCAAGTTGAATCACAGTTCAAGTTTTCATCCGCAATATGATGGCCAGACGGAGCGGTTAAATGGCATGCTAGAGGAATACCTTCACCGATTTTTTATTGGTTCACAAAAGAATTGGGTGAAGCTTCTGGATGCTGCTCAATTGTGTTTCAATTCAGAAAAGAGCTCTAGTACAAACAAAAGCGCTTTGAAATTGTTCCCGCGCAGCAATCGCTACTACCACACACTGTGAATTCCCTAAATGTGCCGAAATCTTTTCCAGCAACTACTTTCTCAAAAGAATGGAAGAAAAATTCAAAGATAGTATGGAGCTATCTTGTGAAAGCCCAAAAGCGGATGAAAAAGCATACTGATCAAAATTGCCGTTTTGTTGAATACCAAGTTGGGGATAAAGTGATGGTGAAAATCCCAAAGCAATACATGTTTGCAGGGGTCTACGACTCGCCCATTGCAAAATTACATTGAACCTTTGTCTATTGAGAAACGCATTGGAAAAGTTGCATAGCGGGTGGATACACCAGCCTAGTGGAAGATTCATCCAATCTTCCATGTCAGCTTCTTGAAACCATTAGGGATGAAATGGAAGATCCTTCGCGGAGCCAACTCACAATACCAAGTATTCGAGGCCCCAAATCAACCGCGAAAATATGCGCAGAAGCTATTCTCGATGGTCGAGTTATCCACACTTCATGGAAAGATCACCAAGAGTTCTTGGTGAAATGGCAAGGTTGTGATATAGAGGAGTATACGAGGGAGAGAGGAACAAACCTCAAAGCCTACATATGATGATCCGATAGGTCATTTTTATTTCTAGCCCGTATTTTGGTGTTTCGAGACCTCGATTACCTCCATTTAGTACTTTTCAATTTGCGTTCACAATCCGTGTCTTCCGAAAAGTTTTTTTTTGAGTTAAGGTTATATTTTATTGATACTCAAAAAATATGTACAGTTGAGTCCGAGGAGCAGCTTTGACAGGCTGCTCCCAATATACATCACAATCTGCTTCTATCAATTTTGTGTCTATCTATCCTACACCACATTTCAATACAGACACTTGTTTAAACCAACTACAGCAAGGATTTCTACCTTTAATTCTACTTATCTATGGAATCCAATTCAGCTGATACAATGCTTCTTTCCACTTGACTATGTTCTTCCCTCTGATATGTATGTGTAGTTCTATCTCTCTGCAGATTTGGAGATCATCAAACTTAGCTTGTTCAAATCTGATTATGTTCCTTTCCCTCCAAATCAGTGCAACAGTCATGGCAAACACACAGCTAGTAATAGCATTTCTTTCTCTTCTGCTCTTGGCTTTCTTGCATGCCCATTCTAACTCTGTTTTCCAATCTCCAATGCTCCTATTATATCCCAGCCATGAACATAGTCTAGACCATAGTTTCTTTGTGATGGTGCACTCAAAGAACAAGTGGCTAAAGTATTCCAAGCTATGTCCACAGAATGCACAGGCTGCAGGAATTTGGATACCAATCTTCAACAGTCTTTCCATTGTAGCTAGTCTCTGTTGTTCTGCAAGACACAGGATGAATCTATATCTTGGATGTGTATTTGTGTGCAGCATCAAACTTTTCCATTCAGCTCTGGCGTATACTGGTATCAGTTTCAAGTACATCTGCTTAATCTGGAACTTTGTATCGGTGCACATTATCTGTAGTCTGTTATGAATGTTTCCTTGGAGTTGTTGATGCTCCATAATCAAACTTCTGCTTTCTAGTATCTTCCTCACCACCCAAGATGCAGACTTAGGTGTGGCCATTGTTTCCAGATTCCTATTCTTTATATAGAAACTATGCACGCACATTATCCATAAGCAGTCCTTCTTTCTTGTTATATCCCACATATGTTTTATAATTGTTGCTTTATTCTATAGTTTTATGTCTAGTATATTGAGTCCTCCAGCAGCTGTTGGCCTGCACACCTTTTCCTAAGCCACTAGTGCTTTCTTTGAGATAATAGCGGTACCAGTCCATAGGAAAGTTCTGCATATTGCCTCAATTGCTTTCATCATCTTTTTTGGAAGAACAAAAATATGTGCCCAATAGGTTTGAATGCCAAAGATAACATCCTTGATCAATTGACATCTGCCAGCATGAGATAGAAGTTTTGCTGACCAGCATGTGACCCTTGCAGTTATCTTCTCAATAAGAGGTAAATATTGATGAACTGCTAGCTTCTTAGAATCTAAAGGGATCCCCAAGTATTTGAAAGGAAGCTTTCCCTCAGTAAAACCCAATGTTGCAAGGATTTCCTGTTTCTCAGTTGGTGAGATTTCAGTCATGTATATAGCACTTTTGTCTACATTTGCATGTAAGCCAGAAACAACTAAGAACCTGTGAAAGGAAGCATTTAGGATCTTGATAGACTCAAAATCAGCTCTTTAATACATCAGGAGGTCATCAGCAAAACATACATGTGTAGTGTTTAACTTCCTGCACCTAGGATGAAAGTTGAAATCTCCATTCTTATGCAATTGTCCCAGTTCTCTTCCCAGATACTCCATTGCAATAACAAATAAATATGGAGACATTGGGTCTCCTTGTCTAATCCCCTTTTTTCCTTTAAAGGCTTGGTCGGTCCTCCATTTAGTACCAAGGAATATGAAATTGTAGTAACACATGCCATTATTCATTGCACAAACTTGAAGGGAAAACCAAGGTCAATAAGCATTCTTCTGAGAAAACCCCATTCCAAAGTATCATAGGCTTTCCTCAGATCCATCTTCAGCACACATCTAGGAGAGATACCTTTTCTGGAGTATCCTTTAAACAGTTCATGACTTAGTAGTATGTTATCAATAATACACCTCCCATCAATGAATCTTGATTGAGAGTGACCAATCAACCCATCAAGAATAGATTTGATTCTTTTTGTAATGACTTTAGATATAATCTTATACAATATGGTACAACATGCAATAGGCCTATAGTCCTTGACTGTTGAAGGTGCTGGAACTTTAGGTACTAATGTGATGGCTGTAGTGTTGATCATTCAAGGCAGGCTACTGGTAGTAAAGAAGTTCTTCACAGCTGCAAAGATGTCCCCCTTCACTATATTCCAGTTCCTAGTATAGAATTCCACAAGAAAACCATCAACCCCTGGTGCTTTGTCTTTAGGCATCTCCCATACTGCAGTTGTGATCTCCTCATTTGTAACTTCTTGGATCAAATCTCTTTGTTATGATATAGTTATGCATGGTCCTTCCTTGATTATAGTTGTATTTGCACAAGGCATTTCAGTAGCACAATCTCCCATTAAGGATTGAAACACTCTGATGAATTCCTGCTCAACCAATTTGGGATCTGTTATCTTTATTCATGTATCAGTGTATATGGATGTTATGCTAATCTGACTGGATCTAATATTCCATTGAGCATGAAAATACTTTGTATTGGCATCACCACATTCAATCCAACAAGCCTTGGACTTCTGTCTCATCACTTGTTCCTCAATATTGCTCCATTTCTCAATGTCAGCTAGTGTGTCTTTCTCTAAATCAAATAGGTTCTGTGCCAAAGGATTCTGCTGAATTTGGTTCTGAAAAGTATCTAATTTTTCTCTTGCCTTCTTAAATTTTTGTTTTTATGAAACCATATAGGCATTAGAGTCTCTCAGCTCTGTCTTCATAGTCTTCAGCTTGCACCAGATCTGTTGCACAGGTGTGCCATCATAATTCTGACTCCAAGCATGCTGAATAATATTCTTGAATTGTGGAAGTTTCATGACATTTGTGTATAGTCTAAATGGTTTAGGATGTAATAATTTCTGTCGACCACATTTGATTAGGATAGGGTAATGATCAGAGACTTATGGATTCAAAAAAATCTTCCTCTACATGACCATATTGCTGTATCCACTGATAGTTTCCCAAAGCCCAATCTATCTTGCTATATACTCTTAAACCAGTACCTTGTTTGTTTGTCCAAGTGAAATGCCATCCTTTAGTTCTAAGAGGGGTAAGCTGTAGAGACTCAATCACATCTTTGAATCCCTGAGTTTCAGTAGTAGTTACAGGGGACCCCATTCTATCCTCATAGGATAGCACATTGTTAAAATCTCCACTAAGTAGCCATGTCTCCTATACCTGCATATTTATCTGTTTAAGGTCCCTCCATAGAGTCTCCCTTTGATTGCAACCATTCTGAGCATAAATGATACTGAGATATGTTGTAATTTGAGTGCTGGTATTATCCACTAGGCAATGGATAAATTGATGTGTACTGTGGATAATCTGTAGTTGTATGTGTGCTCTCCACATTATCCAAATTCTACCATTCACAGCATAAGGATAATAGCAGTAAATATTCCACCCCTGGGCAATCTTTTTTTGTATTTTCTTAGCCTTATGTTCTTTAACTCCGGTTTCAATACACCCCATTACATCTACCTTATTTTTAGCCAGAAAGGTTTTAAACTCTTTCTGTTTATGGGACTGATTCAGGCCCCTAATGTTCCAGGTGACAGTGATCATAGAGAATTGGAAATTGAAGGGCATGATGGACCTGGGTCATCCTGTTGTCCTCTTCTCCCATCATCCTTTATCTCAGCAGCAACCTTCCCTTTATCATTGCAATCTTCATTTACAGATTGCAGCATATGTTATCTTGTATGCTAATCCCATCTTTTGTCTGACATGGCATAGAAACATTCTGTTGAACAGGCTCTATATTCCCTCTACCCAACTCAGTGCATTCAATCTCATGAGTAGGGTCTGCTTGTAGGACTACCTTCCTTTGTGGTTCTGGTTCTGTTTCAGCATTTACTTCTGGCTTCTTCACCAGCCATGTTTGCTTGACAGTCCTAGTTGGCTTCTTTGGTTTTTTCCTCTGTCTTCTTGGCCTTTCCCTTTCCTTGTTATCCACCTCCTCATTACACTTTGTTTTGTGCCAACAGTTAATAGAATCATGACCAAATTTCAGAAAATCATTGCAAAATATAGGTCTCCAGTCATAGTAAATAGTCTACACCATTGGGCCACAAGGTGATTGTATTTCTATTTGGCCTGGAAGAGGATATGCAGCATCTACCTCCACAAGGACCCTAGCATAGAATGTCTTCTCATTATGAGCAGTGAATTAATCAGTGTATAGGGGCTTGCCTACCATACTGGCCATTTTACTTAGAGCCTTAGTCGACCCCAAACTGGCACTATGCTTAGAATGTCTCTGTTGAATTAGAAATCAATTTCCCACAGCCTTAGCACCATTGGTTTGTTCCTGTATGTGTATGGTCCTGACTGAAGAACTTGGTCCCTATCAGCTATGGTGTGAAATTTGAAAATACAATATTCCTAAGAATGAATCAGAATCTGAGGTTCAGTAACGAAATTCCACACTTTCATAACAATGTTCTCCATAGCTTTTTCATAAGGATTTTCCCCTATTATGTACCCAATTAGAGAGGTTTTCCAATAATCTGCCTGAGATTGTAGATCCTCCTCGCTCAGTTTAACAATTCTCTTACCATATCTATCAATTGGAGGAACAAAAGATAAGGGTTTACCCATTTGTGAGCTGCAATTCCCTCGTACCATGTCAGCTGCTGTGGGAGTTGGCTTCTCTGATCCACTTGCTTCAGAGTACTGTAATCACCGAATTGCCTTTATCATTGTTCCTTCCGCTTTAACAGGTTGAAATTGCACGCCTCCTTCAGAACTGCTTGTTTCATGAGCTTCCTCAATCGATTGGTATTTCTTTGGTAGAAAACTTCCAAATGTGAGTGGTGGTAATTCCTTTTGTACACCATTTGTTGGAGTAATGTCACGACCCAGATTCCCCACCCTCAGGAGTCGTGATAGCGCCTACTAATGGGAGTTAGGCAAGCCAAATTTAATTACTTTTTCATAAATAACATAATTTCTTTAAACAATTATCGGCAATAATACAAAAGCAACAAAATTAAATAATAAGCGGAATTCTCAATATTATAGAAAACTGAATAGAAATGCGAAAAATTTCAATAAAGGCCTCTATCCAAGACTGGTGTCACAATACTCACGAACTGCTAATAATACTAAATACAAACGTCTGAAAAAGAGAACACAAACTGTTTATCTCGAATACAATGAGATAACAGACAAAATAAGGGATAGAGGAGACGCCGGGCCTGCGG